CAGCCACATCGATTAGGCTAGTCCGCGATAATTACTGCACCCAGTTCGGTCACCTTTCTTGGGAACTGGCAGTAGTACTGAGGTACTCCACGAGGAAGGACCAGTTTCAGTCTCCCATATCAAGCAGAAGAGCTCGTGCAAATGGTCAAGGAGAGCTGGTGGACAAGATTTGTAGATTTCCGCTGGAATCCCGTCCGGTCCTCGGGGCTTTCTTTGGCTTCAGGTGACGAGTGATGCCTGCGATTTCTGTGGGAGATGGCGCTGAGCAATTCACGTCATATTTTGGCTGTGTTAATGCTAAAATGGGTGCGGTAGTGTGTAGTGGGCGGTTTAGGAGTTTGTTAAAATATTCTACCCATCTGGAAAGTTTTCCTTCCGTATCATAGCTGATTTGGCCTTCCGAATTGCGCAATATCGGCTGTGGTGAATAGCGCTTGCCGGAAGCTAAACGGACGAAACGAAAGTGATGACTCAAGTTGCCAGAATTTGATGCAACTTCCATGTTTCCTGCGATATCAGACCAGTAGCGGTTGCGATCGTTTCGTGAGCGGGTTGCCTCACGTCTCAAGCGACGGCAGTCTGGGGAATTCGTGAGACGTGCTTCTCTCGCTTTAGCGGACAAGCGGATGGCGTCTTCAGTGATCCAGTTTTTCATAAGCATAGAAGTAGAGCCCAAGGTAGATAAAGCGGCGCGATGCACTGACAATTTTAGCCTAGATCAACAAGCGTCTACAGATTCATCTTCTGCAAGTACGAGGCGTGGTGCACTTGCAGAAATTTCTGCTTCTATTGCTGAAGCAAGGGATCGGCAGCATTCAGTATTTTCCAGTGGGACAGTGTTTGCACGCGTTGGTGGAATGGTCTTTCGGCTCGTTATCAAACGGAGTCTGAGTTTGGCGCGCAGGAGTACGTCCTCCGAACCGCCTTTATCGTACGTTTCAGCCTCTCTTTACGCTCGTCAGTCATCGATGAAGGACATCCACCGGAATCGGATTAAGTTTTAATCTATCTGGCTTGCTGTATGACCATCGTTGGAGTACCACGTCAGAAGTTGCTCCCTGGGATGCCGGAAGTGAGTATTGTTTACGCACAATCGGTTAAGGTCCACGAACCTGAGCAATCAGTCTCCATTATCACAGCGCTCTCTAAGGGGGTATGTCCGGAGTATGTGACGGGTTTGATCGCTCATAGAACAAATGCATACTTTCCAGTCCTCTGCAATAACGAGGATATCGCGTTTTGGTACGTGGTTCACCATTGTAGAGTACCGTAAAATTTATCCTTGTCTTTTTCCGCTGAGAGTAGGGCTGGTTCCTAGACAGAGATTATGGTGAGATTCTTCGGGTGGGCTATAAAGCGTGCAACTGCTATTCTAGCTGATACTGGCTTCCATGAAAGGAAAGCGTAGTGTGCCTGGAAACTAAGCGCCATGGCGACCTCTTGGTTGCCAGAATTATCTTCCGGCCCACTGTGGTAAAACCAATATGAGGTGTCTACACCAGGGACTTTGATTTGTCTAGAGCCATAGCCGGCTATTCGAGATTCTGATAGGCATGCTACGTCGACCTGGTAGTCATGTAGTGTGCGCATCGTCAACGCTTGGCTGCTGACATTCAACAAGGCTCTGACATTCCAACATCCAAAGAATAATGGTTGTTGGGGATTGAGGGACCCAGCTAGATGACTTATCACTCCGGTCACTAGGTCAGCGCAGAGCTCCTCGCCTACCTGGAACGCCGTAGCAAGAGAAGAATCGAGGGTAACGGATATGTCATGAAGTTTCGTGGGAATTATGGGTACGTATGAAGACCCCAACCTCATCTGGATTTTGTTCGAGGATTCATTTCTAGCTTTCGCACAGCCAAGTGCTACTTGCAAGCCGTCATGGATCTGGAAAATTGTCCTAACTTATGACCGTTGGATTAAGGGTCGATCTCTTCCGCCCAGTTGTCAGAACTGATGCGAGTACGAAGTCCCCGAGAATAGTATTCCCGGCTATCCTCACCTGGTTTAGCCCGTTTGCCTGACGGTTGACCGGGGTGCGGCCGCTTCTGCGTGCAAGCAGCTTCTTGGAGCCACAGATGAGAGCCGGGTGACAGGTGGAGACCACAGATAGGCAGACTACCCCGGAGGGTAGGGCAGGTCCCCTACCAGAAGTGCTACTCCTCCATCGTACCCCGGACAACACTGTGGATTGAGAGTGGAACGCCCTATATCGTGGGGTAAGGTGACCACAGTGAAGACAGTACGGAGTGGCAAAATGTACGGAGTTTCTAGCAATATGGAGACGCAAGAAAAAACGGAGAATGTAATAGGAGGATGCAAGCCCGGTGAACTGATAGATCAACTGAGCAAGCTAGAAAACTAACGGATGACGAACATAAAGGAGCCGATCACTGGACACGGATTGGCCGACCTTGTATGGATTACTCAGCATTTGGCTAATTGGGTCAAATATGTGAACGGATAATATATTTCGAGGAGTTTGGCTTGCCAAGCTTGCTGTAACTTTCGTTGAGTTTAATTTGCCGATTAAAAGCTTATCCATGAAAGACAGAGTTTTGTAACAGGAATAATGTTGTTCTCTTGATTTGTGATTGTGATTTTCACATTTCCTGCCTGATACGGAATGCTTACGTGCGTCCCCATGCTGAGTGTGATATTCAGGTTTGGCATTTTCGGTTAAACCTAACCACGTAGAGGGTGAGACCAGATGACATCAAAAAACTGCCAACTTCCGTGGCAGTATCGGTGAAGTAACGCGAACTGTTTAGTGGACGATACCGGTGGTCACACGTAGACTTTGTACTGGTATGTCAAATACCAGGCGATTCCAGTCACGTGTGCCACCACCACTTAAAGCTAAACTCAGGTACTCAAGGTAACTCAAGGTACAAAGGTAATCCCTTAAAATTATACGTGAACCACAACTCTCCGGTTTGCTGAGAAACGCGTTTTCTAAATAAGTTGTTTTTGCTTGCATTTTAGCGCCGTTTAGATATTGATTGGACATCGTAAGCAGCTTCAGACACTGTGGTACAGGAACGCGGTTCTCTGGACTGCATTCTGGGGAGTTATACTCCATCCTGATGCAGGAAAACAGGCGAAAACATGTAGGCAATCCAATTGCGTTTCGCAAGAACCATTAGTAAGGCAACGAGTCGCATGGTTCTACATGTCACCGACCCATTCGCATGGCGCTACTGAACATATGTCGCTGTCCTGTCGTTCTTCTGATATTCGTCTTATTTTGTTCGCATGTATTTGGTGTTGTGGTCGTCGCACTGATCTGCCGATGGGATCTGTTAAGCATGCACCTTTAACCCGCCACAAATCATTGCTCCACTGTCCCTTACTTTACCAATAACTTGGATGAAGTATGCAACAAACCTTACGAAAGTCAGCATTCCCTTCGTGTTGTGGATACAAATACAGCGTCAATGGTTCCATCCAGTCCACTTAGTCGATTTCTAACTAGCGTATGAAGAGTAGCCAAGGCATTCAAGAGTCTAGCCACATTAGAGACAGGGAACCGTGCGCACAATTCGGGTGATATATGGGGTGAGAACTTCCGATCAGTCTGTTAAGAAATGCTATTTATTCATGTATATATCATCTATACGTCACGTTGTACAGTTCTCCTTAGGTGTCGTCGAGATGAGCTGAGGTCTAGGCATGTGATTTGCAACGTATCACTTCAAAAATAGATTGTTGGTATCGGCTTGTAATAAGTGGGTCTATGCTACAGAAAAGCAAAATTGCGATAGGTATGTGGTTGGTTGGAATAGACTAGGAGACATTAACACTCAGCCGTTTTAGCATTCAGCACCTAAGACGCCCTTCAAAACAACATTCAAACGACACCCATCGTGTGACCTATATAGATGTTATCGATTCACATCTAACTGACAGTTTGTGCCAACGTCCAATTGTTTTCGGGCCGCTGCGTAAAACCGTAGACACCTAACATGTAATAGACATACAAAATTGCTGGAATCTATGAGTATCACAAAATGAAATACTGATGTGTCCCGTGTGACCTCGATATGGCAGCTTGCCACAGAAATATCGACCATTAGGCTAGTTTGGGGCGAATTCGCTGGAATCTAAACTTTACCTCATTTCAACAGATAAAGCTGTCCGGTTCCCTTGTCAGTTGTTTTATGCAAAACTAGGTCAATGCAAAAACAGTTTGCCCACAGATTTGTCTCATTTATACGGTTGCAAAACAGTAAGCGTTCGGAGAAAGGCAGTGAATGTTGCAAACAAAGAAGAAAAGCGTCATATCTACCATTAACGATGAAACATAGTGTTTTCACTGCTGAAACTGCACATTTACAGGGGTGTCACTTATATCCTTCTGCGGTACACAGTAAACGCTTATAAGTGGACCGGCTTATCATCTGTATGGCATTCGCCAGTTCGAACCACGAAGCGAATTGTGTTCTGCTACGGTAATTCCGAACCACTAAAATTGTGCCAAGTTGAAAGTGCGCTCAGCAAATCGATTGCACTTTCTCAACTAGGAGGCTCCTCCAGAGCAGGTAACAACACGACCACTAACTGTTGTACTTGGACAATCACTTGAAACCACTTTTCGCATATAGCGTAACGTAATATATGTATAGTGTGCAAAGTTAACCGGAGATATGATCGTAAACGATGCTGTTAGGTGATTAACTGTTGTGAGCAATTTACACACTCCACAAAAAATAGAACGGAGCAACCATGCTGAATCTTGGTAGCTCAAGAGACATGTGCGATATGGCTAGCAAATGGGCAACTAAAATTGCGGATCGTTCCAAGGATCGAAAGCAATGATCTCGAAAGTTGGTGTGAAAAATTAACAGCGCAGAAGATAGTTTTCAGCGATGACAACGACATTGAGCCATTAAAACCGGTGGGGACACGACTACCTGCGTGAATTCACCGGTAGTTAGCACTTAGGAGTGTTTTTACACCAGACTTCTCAAACTGCGGAGTATGGAATAACCTCTTACTTGCATTTGTTGTCGTCTAACTCCGGTCATTGTAATCCAAACTCATAGTGATTCGAAGTCCGTTCGTATCTCCGAAGTACATCCACTCAGGGCGAAAGTCACCTAAGCTGAGCACGCCCTCAGCGCAGCAGCAATTGAGCTGCAATCACCTGCACCCAAACCAGCAGCGGCAGCGTTGTAACTCCAGGGGCGGCAGAGATACAGGATCCAAGCTATGGTTGGTCTAGATTAGCTGAGTGCACATGCATGCGCGCGTGTGCGTCTACGCATCGCGCTCGGGTCGATGTGAACGCGTTGCTACGGCATAGGTATACGTTCAGCCCCAATGAATGGAGACGCACGCATCCGCGAGACAGCCTGGGTGTGCGTGCGTGTACTCGACTGGTCTGGCATTTCTCCAGGGTAGGGTTGGAGGTTTCGGTGCCTGGTTGGCTAGGAGATCCAAGGGTTGTGTGAGGTAGCCTAATTCTGAAGTGGCAGGCCTAATTAAGTGCAGGTTGTGCACCCCGAGTGAGGTGAAATTACGCACTGTAAAATAGCACACATTCCTGCCCGAGTACAAGACTGAATGAAAGGTTAGTTTCTCCGGATTCTTCATCCATTTGACACATAACTCTGATTTTTGTAGAAATAGCTCTACTCTGTCGGTTACAGTTTTGGAGCAAAACTGACATGCCAATCTCGAACCTGACCACATCCTACGTGGATCAGTGTGGATGGAAAACATATTCTTTTACCTGTAATCCAGGAATATGCATGCTTTTACCTGAGGTAGACAAAACATGCGGGTACACCTTGTACGTCCAACACGGCTGTGTGACACTGTAACTTGCTGATGGTAACAAGGTCAGGATATTTTGTGTGCGAAAGTTGTACAGGCACGCGTAGAAGCTATAAACTTAATCTTAGAAAGCAGCCCGGTCGGTAATGAACGAGTTGATTTGGACAAAGTTAGAAACGCATTCACATTGCAGTTCTGATTGACGGTACTTTGGCAGCGATGATGCGGACTAGCATATTGCATGGCTTATATGGAGTACCACAGCATTTGCGAACGTTTTCAAGTGGCGTTCAGTGCGCGCGTGCAAACGACTCGACAGACTGCCAGAAGTTAGACCATTTGCAAGTTTACCCTATTCAAGTTTACGGGACATGACCAGCGTTGAAGACGGTTTGTGCTTTCTCAGCACCGTCACTGTTCGAAAAGACTGGGCTGATTTTTCAAAAAGCATACATTACCAATGAACAGTAATAACTGTTTACGGTTGCACACATTATGAGTATAAATATGCATGTTCATTCGCATAAATTATTCTCGACTTCAGTGAACATTTGGAAGAACAGAATGAGTTTCACCAAATCTGTCATGCTTTTCAATGTATTCTGCCATCTTGCTTAAGATATCCGAATGATGTTCACAAGCTGCTACGAGCGGTATCCACCACGCTTTTTGCGAGCTCCGGATGGCCAGGTAGTTCGAGGAACCTCGGTTAGTGTGAGGTGAGGGCGTTGATGAACCAAAATGCATTTCCCAGGTGAATGAGAGTACCAGTTGATCTAAAACTATCATACGTTTGCTGTTGGCTTTCTGCACCAGCCACCAGGCTACCGTTGGCTAGCGGATATTATGGAGCCGGTTTCAGGGCAAAATTAGCTCAGCTAACTCGACGAAGTGATGGAAGCCCATGTCAACATCCAATGTTTGTTTGAAAACAACCAAGGTGGAGGAGGAAACAACTGAGTTTGGGAGAGTTCCAGGATTGGGAAACTCAAGGAAAAAACTAATTCCGTCAGCAATCCGGACTGCTGTATTGTTCAGTCAGTTTCAAGTAATTATCTCAGTTTAGAGAAGGGTAGTAGGTTGAGTTGAATGGTATAGGTAGAATTTCGTCACATCTAGACTCACTCAGACAGCCGCCACACGCCCGGAAAAGCACTGTACGCGCGTTTCATCCTTTCGGGAATCAACAGCAGTGCGCATTCCATCGGACCCCTGGTAGGGCTCGAACCCGCAACTCGTCTGTTGCCAGCCCGTGGTTGAGACCACTGATCTACGAGGGACGGCAACGACCATCGTGAATAAGTTACTAGATGTGATATAGCGCCGCTCTGCGATTGCCGTTATGAATGAGTTTCAGAAAGTGAAGGCATACATGGTCACAGTCATTCAATATGTAGTACACCAATATGAGATCGTCGTACAAACTTTATTACCGTCCGCTGAAAACTCCCAATGAAGTTAGCCTCTGGTGGTAGGACAGATTGCGTAGAGCCTTGATGTTCCTTGTTATCCTGTGTTGTGATACCTCTAGCACCTCCAGGACGCACTTCAACCAAGGTTTCCAAGTTTCGATGGCGTATTTAACGTGTGGGTGCATGTAAGAGTTATGCATCTTTTGGAAGTTTGATGGGTCAAAACTCCCGAGTGACCTCTGCAGCAGGCTGACATGCTGGTTGCCTCTTCACGTCACTGCCTGTGAATGTTTTGAAGTGCTAAGATCAGTATGGAAGAGCACACCAACGTCGTGTTCCTAGGAAGTGGCTTGCAGTACGTGTGACCGAAGCCTATACACGTAGTCATGCCTATGGCGCAACTAAAAAGTGTGACATATTTCCACATTGAATAATAGGATATTTTGAACTGACCAGTTCGAAATCATGTTGGGACCACGTTGGAGCTCTTCATGGTCGCCATATTCCTTTATCGCTCGCCATACATTAATATCATCCATGAAAAATCAGAAATTGGAAGTAATTGACTTCGCTAGATCGTTTATAAAAACCAAAAATCAACTACCTCCTAACACCGAGCCTTATGGTACACCGTGCTCCGCTTCAGTTGCGTCGGACAGGGATTCTCGTACTCTCACCTCCAAGCGAGGTTCTTGCAGGAAATTGCTCATCAAACGAGTCAGCGGGTCACCAATGCCACAGAGTTTGTGAAGGAGGATCCGGTAGTCTAAGCACTTAAGAGAAGTCCAAATAAATGACATCAACACCTGTTTCACCATCAACGTCTGCAGTCCAGCCATTGCGTGCAATTAACAGGTTCATAGTGCCTGAGCGCTTTTGTCGGAAGCCATGTTGCTCTGGTGCTACCATCTTGTGCTATTCCAGATACTGCATGAGTACATCAGCGGTGATAGACTCCATAAGATTGTAAAGCATAGTGAACAACGTTATCGAGCAGTTATTGGTTGTGTCAGTGCGACTACCCCTCTTAGGTGTGGGCTGATGACCCCTCGCTTCCATGTAGTTAGTATTGGGTTCTCCTCCACACATTGCTGATAGAATATAGCCAGAGGTTCCGCCAGATTACTGGCTGTTGCCCGTAAAGCTTGCGGTAGAATGTTATCGACACTAGGAGAGCTGTGGATACACAGAGACAACAGTTGCGTTAACATCGTTTTTGCAGTAAAATTGTTATTGTATAAAGCTGACAGCGGGACACTAGAAACAGGGATCGAGCTCACACAGAAGTACGCTATGTTACATAGTCAATTCAGGTTTCGGAATTTAGGGATTCCTTACGAGCTCTCCATGCTAGCTCCTTCAAAGCGATGCCGTTACGTTTTCCGCTTCTCAGAAATGGCTTGCTTTTTCTTTGACTATGGAAGAATTTCTGTTTTGACGCGTGCATTACCAGTGTGTTAAATGTTCTATTGAACGATTGCAAAGCGACTTCTGGGGTTATTCTGTTAAGAAGGTCCAAGATGCCTCCTAAACAAGCGCGGATAACATGTTGTAGTGAATGACCGTATATACATTATTATCTACTACTTCAGGATATTCTGCATGACATACACAGTCAAACAATAGAACAACATGGTCACTGGGACCTAAAAGTGTGTTTGTAACTATTTCGTTGACCTTTTCTTCCTTGGTGAATACAAGTTCAGCTATCGACAGCCTGTTTGCAGTTAGAAATCTGGTGGGATATGTAACTTAATTGTTCAGAGGGTAGCTGGAAATTAGCTCTTGCAAACGAAATATATGCTATGGTTTACCGTTATTTCCAGCGCGTGCACATTAAATTCGCCTGCAATAGGAATGTGACTGTATGCCTAGTTCAATGCAGCCTGAAAAACCTGGTTCAGTTGGTAGTCCATTTCACACGTAGAATTTGGTGGACGGTAAATCACATCTATAAGACATGTGTCTTTGTTCCGAAACTATGGCCGGCACCAAAGCGAATCCGGGGCACGGATTTCTGGGTGGTCAATAAATTTACAACGGAGGTTAGTCTTGTAATACAGATTCTTGAAGTGATTTCCAAATGTTGTAAGCTCGTAGCACGAAGAAATCTCGTCAGCACTATATATTGTGCAACAACTTTGATACTTTGGCCTCTCAGTATTCTTTTGGCAGAGCTTTAGCAGCTAAAAGTACGAGCGCTAAGGTTTGCTAACATTTTGGTAAATCATAAAAAGATCATCACGCAAATGCCGATACCTACTACTGTCAACTCCTGAAATACTCAGGCGCTCTATTTAAGGCTTCTGTTGGCTCGACCTTGTAACATTCCCAAGACTGCGAGATCCCGCTTCAGCCATGACTGCCATGCTTGGTTTACATATTTTGCGTGCGGGCGAATATATGCAGAAAGCAGGCTGAGAAAAGATACCGGAGCGACCAAAGCTATCTTTAAGCGCCTCAAATTTTGGATACTTGTTTTTGATTCTAGCGTAAATTGCTATGAGCAACCAAAGTGTTTCTGGATCGGTAAAGCGAAGTCATTTTTTCTGAGAACTTTGATGAAGATCCTGGTTGTTCAGCTTATAGGTGTAAAATCTTTGGTTTCTTAGACGGAGTACCCTACATTTAGTCTCGTTGAATTGAAGAAAGGGTTGACTGACCATCCATGAATCTTGTCGACGTTGTTTTGGAGCGGTATGGAGCTTTGTTTGATTTTGTCGGGATAAAGCAAACTGTGTAGTGATTAAGCTCACTAGGTAGTTAATGGAAAACAAGAAAAGACGGACACCATTAACGAACCTTGTGACACCGCGTCCGGCTTGGATATGATGTTATACAGATTCGTGCACTTTACTTCCAGGCGCTTCTGCAAAAGCAGGTTGCATATTCACCCTAGGAGGGGATCAACAATGCCGTATCCCTGAAGCTTAGCTAGAATTATTCGATGGTTCAACCGGTCGAAGGCAGTGTAAATAACATTAA